TCGTGAGTGCATAATATGCCATTGAAAATACATACGGGTAAGGGGTTCTAATGTCGGTCGCCATGTTGCCCCTCCATCTTGAAAGTACATTAGCCAAAGAGGGACATACCCGTTAATTCAAGCTTCGCTTTTCGCGTTTACGTTTGAGTTAACACTCATGGACGAGGTCGAACTGGAAGCCATGTTAATCTTGGACTACATTGGCCACCGTAGGAGTTAAAACGAAATTGGAATTGAGAGGAACAGAAACTAATATTCACTGGATGGTTATATACCTTTTCACCGCTAGATGGGGGTAAAAATCACACTGTGTAGCTTTAAGAAGGTATTTTTAGCCGATTCTACCTAAAAATTCCAATTATGTTTCTGTAACCTATTTCAATCAGTTTGATGTAACTCAAAGGAATGCTATCTTAACTTAATCGAGTTACATTCACCCAACAAACAATTTCCATTTAATCTCAGGATGGACACATTCGACGCATTCAAGAAATTGTGATTTTATTTAACACTTTCAATTGGTTTCACAAACAAGGCTTAATCTTATTTCCAGGCTAAAATTAATCTGTTTTAACTGAAGCACCTCGCACAGACATATCTTAAAATATATCAGCGCCATTGTTTTGTCTCAAGATCCACACCAGTGATGTTTTTAAGGCATGTTTATCACAGGATCTAATTAATTTAGGACTGTTCCAAGTTTAATCTAAACCCTGTCTATGAAACATTGAGTAGCATCGAAGTGAAAATCGCAATTGACAGTGCTACTCTTTACCACAATGGTATCCTAACCACAACATTCAATAACAAATACTCTTCGAAATGTCCATACACATTAAACAAACTATAAATAGCTTTCCCTTTACTGTAAAACACATAAATAACACTTGGGGCCCTATTTTAACAATCTGAAGCGCAAGTATCAAACACGAAACGCAAGTAAATTATAAAGTAAAGTAATTTATAAATATCCAACAAATTCTGTAACCAAAAAATCTGTCAGCTCGTTTTTAACTCAGGGAAATGTGTTTTCTATTTGACATAGAACCGTAACGCAGTGGGTTTCGAATGACAGACGACGAGGCGAATCTGAGTTGTTGTTTTTTTCTGAGATAATAACTTACTTTATTGTGCAGTTTCGACTTTATAACTGTGGTGAGCAGGACGAGGCCGAAGGCCGTGAGAGAGAGGCATGAGGCCTGTGGCGTGATTGCAGATGACGCACCAGTATTGTATCTCTCACGGAGGAGCAGAAGCACGAAAGGAGGAGCTGGATTTTTTTTTTTTTTAATGTTTATGTTTTATTTGATGTGAAAGTAGTTGTGCATGAGGGGCTGCTGTCATTTACCTTCGTTTTGATTTATTATATAGGACAATTACATTCACAAATAGCTATATCACACACTACATGAAAGGAAATATATAAAAAAAAAAAAAAAACATAATAGGTGCACTTTGTCATGTTCATACTATTATAGGACAGTACTTAATTCCAGAAAACTTCTACTCTGTTAATTGTACATATGTTCATTCTATAACATAATTTATATGCTTGCTTCATGGAGCATGCATGCATCTGCTGCCATTCCTCTTCACTACATGGATTTGAGTGATTCACAACTTTCCTTATATAATTACACACAATTACTAAAACAGAAGACAAATAAAAATTAACATGTTTTTTTATTACATTTTTAAAATAATTGAAAAGAAGCTCAGAAAGATGAGCAATCAGATTTGATAGAAAATGTAGGTTGTTCCTCCATTTACAACATTTACAATTACTTGTTGTTGATGTACTTGTTCAACAAAGAGTAATGTGAAGTGAAAAGTATGCACTCCACCGTCACAACTTTCCATACATAGCAAAAGAGGATGGGCTAACACGATCAGCATCACAAATGCATTTTTCAATGCAAATTTCAAACGTCACAAAATAAATAATAAATAATAATAATAACTAATTCACCTTATTGATAAGAAATACTATATACAGACAAGCTGATGTTTTAAATATGCAGGCAAACTAATGTGCCCAAAATCTTAATGCAAAATCCCCATTGTTAAATGAACATTGCTCAGTTTATATAATCCACATTCAGAGAGTTAAATGAACACTGAAAAGTGTTAAAGTTAATGAGATAATTAAGTGAATAATTGAGTGATGATTGAGCGTTTTTGAAAACACCTGATGATAACAAGCAGAATCACTGAAGGAGATTCTCCACAAATTTTAAGTCACCATTATGGGGATCAGTGTTCGTTTTAGTTGGGCTTTACATTTTTAACTTTAGATTTTATTTGGCTGTTGTACCTGAATTATAACTGCCAGATTAACTAAGATAAATTGTGATCTGGTGGTGTTGGTTGTGTTTTAACAATCATTTGTCTAACAGTATCACTGAACTCATTTAGAGCCCAATCACTGAGTTAGATCTACTATATTGATTATAGCAGCACTGGCCTTGTATAGTATAATAATTTTAGCATTTTTGATGTAATCCAAATTATATCTTATACGGTGTTGCCTCCAGCTAACATAGTCTATTTTAGCTTTTTTTTAAATAGAAACTAATACAATTTTATTGGTCACTGCTCTCTAAGGGGAGGGGAACTCAAATACTAACCAATGAAAATAAAAAAGAGTGGTAACATGACCCACAGGGGTCCATTGTGTTCCCTCTTTCAGCACATGTGCTCATGTCACATGGCTCCATATATTCTCCACTGAAGAAGGCATTTTCCACTAAGTTCTGTCCAGATAATCAACTACAAAAAAACATAGTCACGTTCATTGGTAAGTAAAGAAGTATTTTAAAAAAAATTACATTATATATCTTCAAATATATCATAGGGAATTACATAAAACTGCATGTTGCCTCGAGGCAACATTGTACCGTAATGGAATCACAAAAGGCCATACCAGGCATACTAAGGCCCCGTCCACACTACTGCGTTTTCGTTTAAAAACGGAGACCTTTTGCTACTTTTGCACCTCCCGTTCACACTAAAACGGGAAAAACGAAGACCTAAAACGGAGAAGTTTAGAAACGCTGCAGCTGCGTTTTGAATCTCCGGAGGGCGTTTTAGTGTGGACGAGACAAAACCATACAAAACGGAGAACTTTAGAAACGCTGACGCAGAGGCTGACGCTCGGCTCTATGATTGGGTGTTATCAGTCATGACGTATCCTTCCCTGATTCGCCATTCACTGTTTACACCGGCACGCGCATGCCCAGTGTTGGTGAATGGTCACGTGATCCGCGTTTTCAGTCGTTTTAATGTGGACGGAGATCGTTTCTCATACGCAGATAAAACGCTGGTGTGGACGGAGATCGTATTCGTTTTAATACTCTGTTTTTAAACGAAAAAGCAAGAGTGTGGACGGGGCCTAGGTTTGAATACAAGTATAGTTTAATTGTAAGGAAAAGAGTTTGAACTATCTATGCATCTGCATTTTTACAATGTGAAATGTCAGCATGGTTCAACAGGACATTTGGCCACTATAGTGAGTAATCTGAAAAATTGTGGGTTCATGGGACGGGGCGTGGGTGTGGCTTGAGAGTGGTCAGCAGGGGTCGACGGGACATTTGGCCACTATAGTGGGTAATTGGGCAAATAGTGTGTGAGTGGGATGGGGGCATGGCTTGGGACCGTTCAATGGGGTCAACGGGACTTTTGGTGGCGCTGCTTCTGGGATTCCTGGATTTTGGGGTGCTCCCGTCCAGCCCCAGGGGGGGTCAGGCCCCCCTGACCTCACACGGGTCATTAGGTCGGCCTGGGAGGTCTTCCACATGTTTGATCTTGCTTTTGTTGAGACCTGGCCTTCATATTAGGATAAGGTTATGGTGATTGTTAATGTTTTACCCTGAAACAACACCGATTGTAATATTTTGATACGATAACTTGATATGATGGTTTGTAGAACTTGCGTTGCACGATGGTACAATGTTGCCTGAGGGCAACAGCTGGATAATAAATGCTACTTTTTATTAAATATGAAATGAGTACATTAAAAACTTGATAAATATGTTTGCTCAAGTGTTTAGTTAAATAAATTGATGTTTTCAATAAATCTATCATTTTTTTCTTCATGAAAATGTCAAATGTTTCAATTTGTCCATTGTGGTACAACTTTTAATTAATAAATAAATTTTAAAAAATAATGATAAAGTTTATTGATATTGTTATAGTGGCCAATTTTAAGCAGGAAAAACATAACAAATATTTTTTTATCACTGATATCATATTGCGTACAATAGAGGGTTACGTTATTATGGTACAAAAAATATCCCAAAAACTTTTCATACGCAGACATCAAGAATCAACGTATGAATCTCAGCAGTGGGGACAAACATATTCAGATAAACTGTTCAAATCTGAACATTAGAAAACGAGACAAAACAAAATCACATATAAACAGCAGAAATTAAATAAGATCGTAAAGAAAAATAAATTAACCAACACAATAAGATCCGTTTTATCTTTGTTCGTCTAGCTATTATAACTGAAATTACAGAAGCCAAATTCAATCTAAAGTTAAAAGGTAAGGGTCAAGAGCACAAATATAGCACACACTGTTCTCCATAATGATGACTAGTTAACATCAGACGGGGCCTATCTTAAATAATGCTCAATCCTCACTCAATCACGTATTATTTCATTGACTTCAACACTATATAACACTCTGAGAGTGTGGATTATATAAACACTGAGTAGTGTTCATTTAACACTGGGGATTTTGCTGTGAACAGTGTGTAGGTTAAGCATTTTCTCCCCAATAGAAATCACTGATATTGGAAAAAAAAGGATTGTCATTTTCCCCTTGGCATACAGTGTCAGTGCTTTAACGATAGATTGTATTTATGACTAAACCAATGTGAAAGAAATTTGGTTCTCCCTGGTTGCTATATTTGCGCATGGGCACTGAGTTCAGATACAAGTTATTTATTTATTTATTTAATGATTAAAGTGACAGAGAGAGAAAGAAAAAAACTCACTGTGTAATATTGGAGGGACTGTCCTCCTTTTTCTTCTTTTCTCTCTCCCTCTCCAGTGACACAGAGTCGGTTTCTGTAAAAGTGTTTACCATTCAGCTAGGAGGAACTAGGAATACTTGTTCTTCCATTTCTACTTAACTTTCTTAGTCTAGTTGCACTTTCTGTATCCTTTTCATTTGTGTCCTCTTCCTTCAGATCCAGCCCACATCCAGCATGGAATTATGGCCCTTACACGGACTGCTTCTGTTTGCCAGATCTGGGCCATAGCAATGCCACATGTCAGCCAAGAGCAAAGAAATAAACCAGAACTGGACCTTATCGGAGCCACAAAATAAGTTATCACACGCTTAATAAGCCTGTTAACAGGCAGAATCACTGAAAGAAAGAATAGAACAGAAAAGGAGACAAGCAGAAACACAACTGACTTGAAAAAGAAAAAAAAATGATTCACTGAGCTCATCCACAGTGCGATCTTTGATTATGAGGAATTTGTTATTAATTTTATGCTTGGAATAAACTGAAGCAACATATTTAAATTGAAGTTGAATGACATCTTGAGTTTCGGTCTGTTCCTCTGCTTCAGGAGACTTGCAATATAATGTGTTATTGTCACAACAGACAAGGTTGAGGTGAATACAGGAATTATATTAATAGAACAAAAGGGTGAGCGATGCAGGGAAGGAATTCAGATGTGATGAATGCTGATTGTAAAACTGGTGATGACTTAGCTGACGGGAATGATGAACGTCTTGATGAAAGATCAGCGGTAACGGGAAGAATGGGTTCTTAAGGTAAGTAGACAGTGATGACGGAATCTTGAGCAATCTGTCATAGACAAGACCAGACACCAGTGAACTGCAGAGGGAAGTGTTAAATAATGCTTGATGCCGATTAGTGACGACTGGTGACAGGTGACGTGATCTGTGATTGAGAAGTGCATGCAGGTGAGGGCTAGGGAGGATGATGGGAGATAGTGAGGATGTGGATTAACTGAAAACCATTGCTGTGTCCCAATTTGCTTACTTATACTACGCCAGAGGCGGACAGAGTACACAGCTTTATTAAGTAAAAGTACAGATACCCCTTGCTAAATTTTACTCAAGTACAAGTACTACAGTCAGATGTCTACTTGAGTAAAAGTACTGAAGTACTTGTTTTTAAAAGTACTTGAGTACAAGAGTACATTTTCTAAATATTGCATTACTACTGCCACAGTGCTTACATTTATGTACAGAAACGTCCAACATGGAGTTATGAAAATGTTAATGTCAATTGGAGAATGTAAAAGGAACTGAAAGTAGAATCAAGTCATATTCATCTTTGTACCATGTTGCTTTATTTAACATTTAAGAAAACTTTAGAATATTCATAAATTTTTAAATAGTCTGGCGAGGTGGGGCCACGGGTTGGCACATTCCCGGGATGGACCTGCTGCTTCTTTATCCATGGTTTCCAAATGTATTGGAGTAAAGAGTACAATATTTCCCTCTCAAATGTACTTGAGTAAAGTCATGAGTACTCCCCAAAAATGATACTCGAGTAAAGTACTGATCCCTCAAAATTGTACTTAAGTAGCCTACTGTAAATGTACTCCGATACTGTCCGGCTCTGTACTACGCCCTAAAAGTATGTACTCTTTTTATGAAGAAAAAGTAGCTACATACTTTTGAGTGTGTAGCAAAAGAGTAGGCAAGCTTTGGGACATATCACGTCATCTTTAACGGACACACTGCGTGCATCCTGTCACCGTACACTAACCTGTCAATCTTGTCACAGTTAAAATCCTCCATTCAATCTAATTTAATTTCCTACCGTTTCGGAGAGCACGTTGATCTGCCAGTCTTTCATGCGGAGACTCTCCTCGTGTAGCAATTTGAATGATGCATTTAAAAATTAATGGCTAAACGTATCTTTACAAAAGTTCACAATGCTGCTGCATATGCAATATAATGTGGACAACATTGAAAAAATTCATTTTCGTCAGGTTAGATACACTCAAAGCTCTTTATCTAAACCTCTCTACATACCGCGGGACTCGCGCGTCCTCCGTGTCTGTAGTTTTTTTTTTTTTTTAACACTTTTTACTCGTGTTTGTAGTTCTAACCGAACCTCGTTCAACGCGCAATGGTTTGTGGGCAATATCAGCCATCGATCTACACAGGTAAAAGGAAATATGGTCAATTGTTCATATATTTGATGAAAATGGTAATATTCTTGAACTGGAGGAATTTAATTCTAAATATATTAACTGCTCATTTGTGGATTACAACAAAGTAGGCTACCACAGAACATTCCAAAGGTCCTTATTCAAGCAATAAAGAATAATAACATTGCATCTCAACTACACAAAATTAAAATCGATGATGTGGACCTGGTAGATAAAAAATGTAATAATCAAATTCCTTAAGCAATCTCTCGTTAACTGTTTGTACCCGCGGGTAGAACAAGAAGTAGGCTATACTCTCTTCTTTCTTGGTTTTAACAAATATGAAATATCTTAAATTGGCCTAGAACAAAATTCCAATTCCAAAAGATATCCAATTCCTCCTAAATTTAAGGAAGTACATTTTAAAACAATAAATAATATATCCCTCGAGTTTGTAAAGAAAAGATTCAAGTTTGAGGTAGACAATTGTCATATCTGCAACATTTATGTTGAAACAACTGAACACCTGTTTTTATGAATGTCAAATGGGTAAACATTTATGGAAATCTCTTCACAGCATGTTGTCCTCCAGTTCCATAAACATAGATTTCTTTTCATATCAAAATATTCAGATGTGTGTAATTCTACAAAATAAAAATGAAGAATTTTTGGTCAATAATCTAATTATAGCTACAAAATACAGTATAAATATTGTATACATAAATGTCGATTTGCTAAGTCCTCCCCGCATGGTCTGCATTTAAAAATGAACTTTTGCTGTTTCAAAATTGTCTCATAAAGGTTGAGAATGCCCAGGCTAAGAAATTGTATAATCGTTTAGTGACACTTCAGATGAGTTTTTTTTTTTTTTTTTTAGTGTTTTGAGTTCTTTCAGTATATTGTTCTCCCTTGTCATGTGAACAGTGAGGATGTCTTTTTGGATGATGTGCGGGAGGTGTGACTCTTGGTTTGTAATACGATAAGATTTATATTGTACATTTTGAGGATGTCATATGTTCTTTCTTTGTTCGATTTCATTATTGTTTATTGTAATAAGAAAAAGTTCAATAAATTAATAAATAAAAAGCATCGATCGGATTCTGACCGGAAATAGTAGACCATCTGGGTCTCTTTGAAACACTCATTTCAACATACTACGATTTGGGACGTACTAATTCTATTTTCGAATACAATTTAAGATGGATAGTTTGCGAATTGGGACACAGCAAACGACTGAAGATGTGTTGTTTAGGCTAAATAACCCAACACTAATGTTGTATGTAAAAAAGCAGAGTCTAAGATCATTCTATAAAAATAAAATAATTATGATTAGACATCAGCATTTTACACCTGTGAACATCACTAAACAAATAACATGCACTACCTTTGCTGCAAACCACAATCAATCAAGCAACTGATCTTACACATTCTTTCCAGAGAAATCATACTAATTTATTCAGGCATGTGGCACTCAAACGTGACATTTACTCTAGGCTACATAAGTCTTACATTTTGTAAAACATTCAAGAATGTAAACACGTTGCAGCAGTTTTATAATGTTTTGTGCTGGTTGTCTAAGACATGTGTGGAATGCTGTTAATCAAGTTTCAGAAAAGATAAAACTATTTCTATATTTTGTAATTTGTACACAATTACTAAGCACTTTGTAATCACACACGAAGACGAACTACCTATTCACGAAGAGGGAAGCAAAATAGAGCAAGTGATAGCAAACTGACATTGAATCAACGTGGAAATGACATTGAAACAACGTTGATCTGACATTGTTTTGCTCATCGAATTAACGTTGAACCAACGTCAGACGCGTCATTCTTTCAAAACTAACGGAAAATCAACTTGAAATCAACGTTGTTTCAACGTTATGAAAGCAAACCAATTTTCGATTTTCATTTAGCTTTGAAGAATGCCGCGTCTGACGTTGGTTCAACGTTAATTCGATGAGCCAAATCAACGTTGTTTCAATGTCATGAGAGACGTCGTTTCCACGTTGATTCAATGTCAGTTTGCTGTCCTTTTTCAGCAATCTTGGTTCAGGGAAAAAAAAAAATCTAAGCCAAGAGCCAAACCAATCAATCAACTCAAACTTCAAAGGTGCTCTACTCGATGTCTGGTGACGTCACTTCTTGTTGAAGTTTAAAGTTTGTCATATTTAGTGGTGCGGGTTTGCCCAGTTTGTTTTTGTTGCCATATAGCCGGGGGTGTCTGCAGAGGCCGTGTCTTTTATATAGTGTGTTCAGAGGACAGGCAGCTAGCGGAAAGTGAGGAGATGTTGTATGTGACAAAAAATGTTTTGGCCTAAAAAACGTGTGACATCACTTAAGCACCTTTAAAATGCACTTTGTTTAAAGGAGCATTTCACCCATTTCAACATTAATCTTCTTTATTGAAAGTGGATCATATATGTAGTTGAAATGTAAAATAATTTTTGAATTTGGTGCCCTCTTAGCCGAGAAAAGACATAAAAATTACTGAAGGGCGCATTTGTATATAAAACAACATCTCCCATAATGCATCACTTTGCAGAGGCCCGCAAGCCACACTCACTAATCCAGAACCAGCGCCAAAACATCAGAGAAATCACTCTGGCATCAACAAGGCTAACGTTAGCTGCCAGCAGAGTTTGAAATTAATTTCAGACAACATTTCAAGTTGGCTAGCAGGACGAGGGTGAGGGACGTGAGAGCAGCGTGAGAGGACGGCGCGAGGCCGGTGGAGTGAGTGATAATGAAAGACCCCCGTGAAGAGACACACCGACCGGTCACGCGTCTCTCACCGAGGAGCGAAAGCATAAAGTAGCAGCAACGGCAGCAGATCGAGAGAGAAACAGGTTTGATTTTATGTGGTGTTTTGTTTCTGCTGTTTGTGGACCTCAGTCGTCAATGAAGGGCTGCTCTGCTGGCTAATACTTTCGTTTTGTATTTGTTCCTTTTACTATTAAAATGTTTAAATGTTCGCCGGTTCCCGCCTCCTTCTTCCCACAACAACAAACCCCGTTACCGTTACATTGGCAAACTCTTTAGTGAATTACTCCTCGTTTGTATTTATTTCTGTGGTGAATTACTACATCATACCTAAATTTTCAATCAGGCGAAACTAGGTTGGTTCACATCATGATCACAACAAAAGCGTCCGTGTCCTCGTCTGATTCAGAGATTTCTTTCAGGAAAAATATGCCATCGTTGAAATTCTCTGCAGCAGACGTACTCTAGCTGTGTCCGTAGCACGCAGCGGGAGCACAAGCAGCATCAGTCCGCTTCAGCTCGAGTCAGTCCGGGGTCCTCGACCGTGAGCACAAGCACAATCAGTCCGCCTTAGCTGGAGTCAGTCTGGGCTTATCTACTGCGACAGGCAGCCGCTTTCGTACCCTACATAAGCCTCAGCTGCTCTTCACTAAACTGCAGCTCGTAAAGACAGCCACGAACATCCGATTCGAGCAGAGACTTTCAAAATCCTATTCTTTAATATCATGTTTAGTTTCCATCATTATCATAACTTCCCATCTCCACAGCGCTTGTTAGCTTAGCTTCCAAACAAGATGGCTGATATTGATTTCAGTTTCTGCAAGTGAAGTCCCACCCACTGATCTGTAATAGGCCTGTGGGGTGAGTGGGTCCCACACCCTTGAATAATGAGAAGCTAAGTTTGTAGTCTCTGTCATTTCAATGAAATATGACTTATCATGCTTATTGTGACGCAAAATGACGATTTTTACATCACGTTAAGCAGGAAGTAAAACACTTAAATCCTTACTTTTCCGGTTTCTAAAGATACAAAGCTTAATGCAAATGGGTGAAGTGTCCCTTTAACTGAGACCTGTACAGCTAAATCCCTACTGTGGCGTCCCTTTCAGGACGATGGTGCTTTCTCGGTGTTCAGCGGGAGAAAAGAATATGGTTTCATCATACATATGCCAGTAAGTGAAAACTGTTTGTCTCTTGGTGCACAGATCAGTTGATTGTCCCATCAGTGTGGTGCTGGACATCCTGCTGTATTGGTTGGATACTGGAAGTTCTCCAGCCACATTTAAACTGTGTGTGGCTGCCCTGTCTGCTTATCAGGATCCCATGGAGCAGGTGTCTATTGGTGCAAATAGGCTAGTGGTGGCTTTTCTAAAAGGAGCTGTATAGCTAAAGCCACCAGTACGGGTAGTGTGTACCCAGTGGGATTTACGGGTGGTGTTGGACATGTTGTGTTTAGCACCTTACGAACCTATTGAGCAGGCACCTAGTAGAAGCCTTTTTATGAAGACAGCATTTCTGTTAGCCATAACATCAGCCAGAAAGGTCAGTGAGTTACATGTTCTGTCAGTGAGTCCACATTGTTTCAGGTGGGGGCCAGAGGGCAATCAATTTGCACTTTGGCCAAACCCAGCATTTCAAGGTGGTAGGTAGTGTCGCCTCAAATCGCAAACCAACCCATTCATCTGGCAGCATTTATACAAGAGGACAAGGCGGCCCTAGGTACAGTCCGTATGTTGAGGCAGTGTGTATCAAAGACTCCCCCATGGTGTACCACTTTTTGTCTGCTTTGGACCTGAAAGGAAACGTGCACCCTTGTCAAAGCAAAGGTTCTCTCAATGGCTAGCAGACACTATTAGTGAGGCATATCATTCAACAGGACACATATTGCTTACATCTGTTAAGTGTCATAAAACTCGGCCAGTGGCCACTTTTTGGGCAGCATTACATGGTGTGCCTCTCTCAAAGAAATGTGCAGCAGCTACATGGGCATCACCTTGCACATTCACAGGTTCTATAGAATTAATGTGTCTCCTACTACTATTAGTTCTGCTATATTGCCAGAAAATGCTTGAGATCCTTGTGACTTGGCTACATGACTCATGACTTGGTACGCTACTGTCGTGGTATTGTCTAACAGACTAGTACGTGTTGACAAATGAGCAACGTCCGAAAGCGATGCAGGGCAAGGCGTTCTGCCAGCAACTCGAGGCAATTGACATACAGAAGGCGCTGGGGTCCTGTCCAGGATTCCGCGGCAGCATGTCCGTTGCACATGGCGCCCCAGCCCGTGGTCGAGGCATCTGTGGAGACAACAATATGCCTGGAAACTCGTTCTAGAGGAACTCCGGCCCGTAGAAAACTGAGGTTCCTCCACGGGGTGAAGGTCTGAAGGCAGGTCGTAGTCACAGGGACTCGGAACGTGCCACAATGCCATGCCCACCTCGGGACTCGATCGCGAAGCCACAGCTGAAGCGATCTCATATGAAGCAATCCGAGCTGCATTGAGGCGGCTGCAGATGCCATATGCCCCAGGAGCCTCTGAAATAATTTCAGTGGAACCACACTCTTGCCCTCGAACTGTTGAAGACAAGTCAGCAGTGAGTGTGCGCGCTCGTTCGTGAGCTGCGTGCACATGGCGAACGAGTCTATCTCCATTCAGAGAAAAGAGATCCTCTGCACAGGGCAGAGTTTGCTTTTCTCCCTGTTGACCGGAAGGCCCAGACAGGTTAGGTGCTGGAGCACTAAGTCTCTGTGTTCGCAATCCTGATCTCGAGAGTGAGCTAATATTAGCCAGTCGTCGAGATAATTCAGGATGTGAACCCTGTGTTCGCGAAGGGGTTCACAGGCTGTCTCGACAATCTTCGTGAAGACGCGAGGAGACAGAGCCAACCCGAATGGGAGAACCGCGTACTGGTATGCCTGCCCCTCGAAAGCAAACCGAAGAAATGGTCTGTGTCGAGGTAAAGTGGAGACATGAAAGTAGGCGTCCTTCAGATCTATCGCTGCAAACCAATCCTGGGGCCGAACACATTCGAAAATGCTTTTGGCCATGAGCATCTTGAACGGTAGCCTGTGAAGGGAGCGGTTCAAGGATTCAAGGACGTGCAGGTCCAGGATTGGCCGTAACCCAGCAGTTTTCTTGGGGACGAAGTAGGGGCTGGAAAACCCAGACTTCATATCGGCCGGAGCGACAGTCTTGATTGCACCCTTCGCCAGCATGGTGGGGGCATTGCCACCGACCACAGTGAAGCGTATTCCCCTGAAGCGGGGAGGAGACCGACTGGCAGACCACTGCTCAGATCGCAGGCAATGTGAAACTCGCTGGGTACCGCCGTCACACCAACAACGGAGAGTTTGCTCGTCTCGAAGAGATGTAGTCACTGATAAGACTCAGGATTTTGGCTTGTGGAGTGAAGAGATGCTCTTGGCTCCGAAGCGAAAACATGACTGCCTTTGCTGGCGTTCTTCTTTTATACCATGCGGTGGGGCAGAGATACAATATGCAAATTCCGCAGACCCATGGCATTTCATTGCCATTGGCTCGTTTTTTAATACTCGAAGATGATAGGCTTCTAAGCGAAACCCCCATTCTACGTCACCCGACGTAACTCAGAGTGACTACTCAGGGAACGGTAAGAGTTTGTACCTGTATGTATTTATTTGTATTAAATCACATTCAAACTACTGTTAAATGATCAATAGTTCAAACTTAGCTCTTACATTAAAGGTAATATAACATGTAACACTGTACTACATAATAGCTGTGCTGGGCAGATTACTTTGCAAATTGTAGTCATTACTGATTATAAATTACATGACAAAAATTGTAGTCTAGATTACTCTTGTTAGGTCATGTATTCTGAGTGCTTTTTGATTACTTTTGACCTAAATTGTTAATTACTTAGAAAATCAATAAATTAATTATTTACTTCCATTATGTGAACAATATATAACGTTAATCATCCAATCCATAAAAAGTAACTGTATGAGCATTTTAAAACGATACATTAAATAATTAGCCTACAAGTACTACATTTTTGGAATCGGATTGCGTAATTTAGATTGTATGTAATCAGGTACTACCCAGCACTCCATATGTATGAAGTTTTTACTTTTATTAAACTATCATTTTAATAATTATTTTATAGTTATGGTATCATATTTTATGACCTTCTTGCTATAACTGACTAATATTAACTAATTTATCATTTATCTACAAACCCATGCAAGAAGACAAAAATAACCCAAAACCAAATATGTGATTGGCTTCTTTATTATGACTGCACTTTATTATTATTTTTTTTTTTAATTGCATTAGTTTATAACATTGCCTGAGGTGAGAACTCATAAAAAACTGTAAATAAACAATGATATAAGAAGTGAATGTACAAAAAAATTCACAGGTAAAACAGTTGGGAAGATTTATGCAAAGCAGCGTATCGAAGGGCAACATAAAACCTCCCATTTTAAAAATCAAACAGGGCAAAAATCATTCAAATAAAATTATAAACGTATAAATAAATACAAAGAGAAAAATCAATAAAGTGCATTCCGTAACATTGGTTGTACTCTTGCGCGAGTAACTGTCTCTACAGAATCTAAACACTGACACCGTCTATCCTACACACACACACTTTACAGCACAAATCAATCTGAAAACATGTCATAAAGGCATATACACACTACCCAAATATTAAAAGCATATTAAAAATAATGCTACCTTGACAAAAGGTACCGTGGTGTTACTATGGTACAAAGATGGTACCTGATATACTGTACACCATAGTACTGAATTATTACCTTATCCATGTATATTCAGGGAAATGCCATGGTTTATGTCCGAAAAATATGGTATTAGCATAGTACAATGTCTAAAACACCGTGTTAATACCAGCCAAAATTCAATCCATCATTTGTTTCTCCCTAAAGGTTAACATTTGGGTAAAGTGTAAAGTCCTATATTGGCAAAAGACAGTCAATCAGGGATCAGCTGATTTGGATAATCATTGCACGAACGTGGCACCAAATACATCGCTAGATTCATTGCTCACACACACACACACAGACAGACAGAGAGTCTCAAAAGTATGTTCACACAAACGTGAGAGATTTAAAGTGTAAACAGATTGGATCGATACCACACAAAGCCACTGCCAACGTATCATTTCATATCTCTCGCAAACCACTAGACGTTTACATGTCATCCTACTACGTAATAAAATCCTATAAAAGATCACAAATATGTAGCAAAAGTGAATTAAAAGCCCTGAATGGATTAAAATTAAACACATCTACACATGGACCACCTCATACTTCACAAACTCTTCTGCATATACTAAAAGGATAATTCAGGCTTTGAAAGAATTCAAGTGTATAATCCACAGTGCATTTACTGGCCTATTAATATAATCTAACAGGATGACATCATATAGTGAGCTATTTTCTTCATAGAGTTTGTCTAATAATCTCAATATCATTTCATAACCATGCCATCCTTGAGGTTTTTGCTTCAGTCTCAAGCATGGCAAATTTAACTACTGTATATAGACTCTCTTTCTCAGTTTAGACATTTAAATTCAGCCACATAAAAGTCAACATGAAACGACATCTCACTCCCATAATCTGCTTCAAATATACTTCTACAGATATGTGTGCTATTATTGCCATAACGCAAACTGGCTTTAAATTGCTGCATTGACTTAGAAAGGCTGCATTTCCCACAAAGTAGCTATTTGACTATACAGTAGACCTTAGCCAGGGGTCGATTTTACACAGATTAAACATTGCAATCCATTAAACGCATTGTTTCTCACAACCTAGTTTTCATTCCTGTCAAAAATTATATATGGCACTACCCTGACTAAAGTCTGTTTGTTAAACGTTGTGCACGACCAAGGCGATGTTAGCTGAAAGGGAAAGCCGTGCACTGATGAATCGTGCACAATAACACCAGGAACATGCATCACTAAAGTAAATATGATCAATTTAGATTTCATGTTGACTTTTGCAGGGCATTTCCAGTGCAAATATAATTAAGACAGCAGAAACAAGCACTTGTTCACACGGTTCTGTCCTTGTGCAACAATCATTTCCCATTTCTGTTGCCTCTAGCATTCACATATAGCGCTACCGTCTGCAGTTTAACAGTATAGCCGAGGTACTAAAATGATCTATAGTGGTAAACAAACATTTTACCTACTTTACCCCTCATTTCTGAATCTGACAAACTGATTGGATGATATGGTGATGACTGAAAGTACATGCCCTCTACAGACCTGGCAGGAATGATTGGATGTGCAGTGTTCACTAGCATTAGGTCTTGATTTCATTTTTCATATCTTATTTTTTGACTCTTCTATTCACAATATACAATGTAACATGCATCTAGAGAGACATACTGGTTTGTTCTACATCCACATATGATGGTGCACACACTCATACGCCATATGCACAAACACATTTGACAAGGGTCATTTAGAAGCACCTTTACTTGTTTGCGTTTTTTTGATGTCTTGGTTTGATGGCTGTTGAGTCTTTTGAACAGTCTGCATTTGGACAAATACTGGGAACACGTTCTGTTTTTAAAGTTCCCAACAGAGTATTCCCATTAAAGTATTATGAATGTTTGGAAGAGCTCTTTGATGCCTTTTCAGGCTTTGACGATCCAGGACCGGGCCAAGTTCCAGTCAGCCCACGGCGACTCCCAGACGAGGCCTCGGACTTTCCCAAGGTGGCGGCTCGTTTGTCCTCGTTGGTTTTGGAGCTGTCCTTGCCCTTCCCGCCATCCTGAGATCCCAACTTCATCGGCCCAAGCACAGTTTTAGCCACACTGGTGAGCTGCGTCACAAAGCTCGGCCTGTCGCCAGGAGATACGGCACGGGATTTGCTTGTGCAAGGCGACTTAGCGGTTGGAGATGGAGAGGCTTGGGACTCATCAACCGCTTCCAGCCTCCTTTTTTCCTCTTGAGGGGCTCTGGTTGATCCTGGTGGGGTTTGAACCCGTTCTTCAATGGTTTTAGACTGGACAGGAATGGTTTCTTTAACTTTAGTTGCGGCAACAATACTAGGTCCAGCCCCCTCAACGCTTAGAGTTCCTTTACCTGACTTGCTTGCCTCTGGAGCAACTATCGGTGGGGTTTTCTCCCTCACCGGGATCTTTTCAGTGGCTTTGCCATTCTCCAGCCCTTTGGGACCCACGGTTTTGCTATTCTCCAGCCCTTTGGGACCCTCAGTTTTGCCATTCTCCAGCCCTTTGGGACCCACGGTTTTGCTATTCTCCAGCCCTTTAGGGCCCTCAGTTTTGCCATTCTCCAGCCCTTTGGGACCCACGGTTTTGCTATTCTCCAGCCCTTTAGGACCCTCAGTTTTGCTATTCTCCAGCCCTTTGGCACCCATGGTTTTGCCATTCTCCAGCCCTTTGGGACCCTCAGTTTGAAGGCTCTGGGGTTTGACTTCCTGTGATCCAGAGCTCTGGACAATTGGCGTCCAATTTGGGGTCTTTGAGCCACATCCCATTGCGGATGTGACGCTAAGAGATTCGCTCTTTCCCACATCCCCAGCTCTCTCCTTGACTATTGAGACAACTGAGACTTGAGAAGACTCAGACTTGGAGGCAACTTTCTCCGTCTGGTGTGTTTCGGCCAATTGGATTGATTTGGGATCCAATGGTTCGGGTTTTGACGTGGTTTTTAAAACTGCTACACTTGAGTCGGGCTTGCTTGGAGTAACCTCGGATTCTCGAGTCGTCACCGAGTCCTGCTTTCCAAGATGCCTCGCCGGACTCAACGTGTGTTGGGCAGGGGTGTGCGTTGGCGTCTGTTCGGGTGGAGAAGGCGGAGCCCCGGGCGTATTCTCTCCCTCGATCTCCATCAGGCTCTGGAGAGCGTGTTCGCAGTGGAACGACTCCCGGCGGTATTCGGCGTGCACAACCTCCAATCCGTGCTTCCTCATTGACACGCAAAGCCCTCCCTTCCTATCCGAGCACACAGAAGATGAGGACGATGGGAAAGATGGCGTAGGGGGAGGGCCCAGCTTCTCGGCGGACTGCACCCGTTGGAGGAGAGGGGAACGAGGGGGTTCTGCGCTCTTGGGACGTGGGCGCGTGATTGGAGGGGATGCATGAAGCTTGGCGGGGAAGGCTTGTGTGGTGTTGGAGCTCCCGACGGTGTGTCCAGCGATAGGCGGAGGAGAGGACGAAGTTGGGGATGGCGTGTGAGCTAACGGGGACAGAGGAATGTTCCCGGCGGATTTGCAGCGAGCAGAGCGGTACTGGCGGTGGAGTTTGGGTGAGAGACCGTAGAGAGAGCTTGGCCGCATGTGCTGAGATGTTGCAGGCGAGTTTGGCGTGCTGGACGCGGGAGAGCTGCTCTGAGACGACGTGCCTGAAAGGACAAGGACAGAACCAGGTCAGAACCTCAAAGGAACATGTAAAGGGCACACAAGGATCAGTCAAAACACCCAAACACTGGCAGAAGTTAAATACCAAAGGCTAATAGAGTTAATTTCAAAGCACGTCTGCCGTAAAACAAAAGAGGCAACGCACGCCACAGAAATGTCATCTTCAGTAGGTCAAATATCACTCAAGTAAATAAGGTTTAATCAAAATTCAATATTACATGGCAAAATTCTGCTTTTTTTCTCTAGAAAGGAGTTCAGACGTTATAATACAATTGTTCAACTACTCAAAAACTTAGACCCCAATCATACTCTTGTGTGTCATCCATCATATATTGCATGTATATCAACACTTTCAAGCTTCAGAGACACTGGACTCTGCTATGAGGCACGTAATGGGGGATTTTCATGTATGCTTTGCATTCTCAGCACTATTCAACAGTCTTTTACAGTCAATATGTTTAAAGCAAGGTGCCTAGATAAAATATACATCCAGTTACAAACATTAATGTGTAACTGTAGCGCCCCCTTGTGTACTGCTGCTATAACTGTAATGCAAGCATGCATGTGTGCAATGTATTGAATCTTCATTTCCATACTAGCATAATCTCAGTCAGTCAAGCTAAACTAGTAAAAGTAGAACAATGCAAATAAATAAAATTCATTTTAATATAAATTAAAGTATAAATTAAAATTTAATATAAAAATGTATTTTAATTTAATATAAATAAATAATATTTAATAAATAATGCTTATAATAAATGTATATACTATTTTCACTAATAATAATAATAATTTTGTACAAAATCAGAATAGAGAGATATTTTTGATTGCTAATTATACATATTAATTTAATTTAATTTAATTTAATTGATTTTATCACAATGAAGCCCCAGGGGTTTGTGCCCGCTTGGTCTAGAAACACTAATTTTGACTGAATAAAAGAAGTATAAATGACATCACAGATTCAGCCAATTAGATTTCACTTCAAACAGCAGTGGGAGGAGCTCTGACCGAGGAGGGCGGAGTCTGGAGGAGAGCGATACGTCTGAGTGGGCGAGCGAGCAGACAGGTTGTGTGTCGGAGATCCCGGCAGACTGTCTCCAGACGACAGCGAGCGATTCAGAGAGGACAGGCTACGACTGGTGTGAAGCAGGTTTGACTGTTTCGTGATCTTACGGAAGAGAGAGCTGCGCTTCTTACTGCAGACAGAGAGAGAGAGAGAGAGACTAAAGCGACTATGTAAATGAGTTGTGTATTTTATGCAAAGGCATTCTCTCTTTCTAACCTCTCTTGTCCATCTTTTGGAACCGACTTCTTGTTGCGTCTGGCCATCTTGGCTTTGTAGCTCAGCTTCCTGGCCGGCCCGATCTTTATGGACGTGTTTTCGAACGGAGTAGTCGTCACTGTTACTTTGCTGCCACTCTGAAATTACAAAAGCACCTTATTAAAGTTATTGAGTATTATCTCTAGTTAGCAATTATATAGGTGAATAGGTGACGAAAGAAAGGGTAAAATATGTTAAATTACTGAATACCTCAACACTCCCAAATGACATATATTTCAAATTATTAAGGTCTTTTCTTTTTTGTCGATATGTGTATTTTGTTACATTTCTGTATTTCTGCAATTATTTTTGTATAAATATAAAGCAATTGATGGACAGGTGTGTCCATGAAGCCCGTACCTTCAGGATGAGCTCCACCACCTCTGTGTGGACCAATCCGTGCACAGACTCCCCGTTCACATGGGTAATGAGGTCACCGGCACAAAGCCCCGCCTCCTGGGCCGGCCCACCACACTCTACATGCTGTCATTGGAAGAAAGCAATGTCAATCATCACCAGTGTAAAACAAATGCATGCATTGTGTAATTTAATATAGTTAATTATAAAGTTTAGCATTTTACAGTTTTTATTCATTTTGAGGAATACTGAGTGAGATGAGTAAATGCACGTTTACATTTAGTCTAGAGCTAAAATAACCATCATGTTCACACACAGCACACACACTTCTCTCAACATGGGAACAGGAGAGCTGTCAATCAATAATTGTGAACAAGTAACTTAAAAAAGTAATGCGTTTCTTCACTGGTTACTTGAAAAAGTAATCTGATTACATAACTCAAGTTACTTGTAATGGGTAACCCCAACATTGATCATCACATACAACACATTCCTCAGATATAAATCAGTAGGACGTCTCAGAATGCGTTCGTACCCAGACCATGTGATGCACACTGTACACGTGACTGTCACCCATGTAGACTCGGATGGCACGCAGCGTGAAGCCGTACTTCTTCCCAGAGCGATGGATGGTGATCGGTGAGCGCAGGACGTTGACCGTAGGCGAGTAGTCGCGACTCGGAGACGAGTCGCGAGACGAGGTATTGGACGAGATGGAGCGAGGAGACATGGGACTGGCCAATGGAGACGTGCCATGCTGCTCAACTACGGGAGGAAAAATAATCTTAATATAATAAAAGCTCATATGTAAACGCCACATATATTGAAAATAATGCCAAACCTGCCTGGTTCAGATAACACGATTTTTTTTGTTTGTTCCGATAGTCACTGTGTCAGATTTTGACTCCTAAAATCTTGTCGTGTCGTGGACAAGAAACATGTCAGACTACACGTTGCTTCCTGACCAGTCATCGCATGCCGTCTTTAACGGCGCACGTGATGTCATCGAGAAGGCGAAACTAGTAGCGAGTGACTTCCGGAAACGAACGTAAACAAACAATGGATGAATCGGTGAGTGTTTTTGGCTGTCCTGTTTTCAGACTTCAGAAAAAAGTCAAAAAAGAAAGAAAACCCGACAATGGACACGTTCATGGATTGCTCGAAGAGGACAGTATGGGCTGTCAATCCTCCAAAGAGAACTTGAGGTAAAATATTGTTTTCTTATGGATTTTTACTTTTAGTTTTAACGTTAGCAACAGCGTCTCTCTTTCATTTCGACATTTTTGAAAGTTGTGTACGGAAAAGCTTCTGTGCTCCTATTGGTCAACCTCATATATGTGACGGAACTCGTGGACGACCGTTAAAAAAATTAAACATGCTAGTATTTTTGTCGTGATGTCATGAAGCATCGCAGACGCGACGTAGCTTGTCGCCCACTATGACACACTATACGAGATGATACGAACGAATCTTGCGTCCTGACGCCCGTTGTCGTTTACGAATCCCCACGACACCCTACATCAAATGGGTCGTGCCAAAATCGGGCTAAAATCGTGTAATCTGAACCAGGCATTAGAAAAGAGTGTTGGGAAAAATTTTGTCGATTTGTAGTTTGTAGACAAAAAAAAACGTTTCTTGCTAATTTATGTTCTTTTTACACAGAATTTGCATGGCAAGATGAACATTAGAGTGTTTTTATGAATGGATTAATACAGAAATAAGCATGTTTCATAAATGAGGCCCACAAAAAGGCTAAATATTAAAGAGAACAAACCACACGATTTTATAAAAGCATATAGAAAATAATATGAATTTTGACTTTAATAGTACTAAATAGGACTTAATTGTATTTATCAACATATTTATCAGTTATTGACATTTTTAGCATTTTTTAACTATAGTTTACATTTATAGGTGTAGCTTTGCAAAAAAAAAAAAATAGTAGTGCGATTTTGGTTATTGACCTTTTAAAACTTAAAATACTCTTATAGGGCCTTATTCATGAAACATAAGCTTTTAATAATTTTTGTATTTACTATTAACCATTATTAAGTATTTTATTCATTGAATTAACATTAAAAAACATGTCATATCAAAATAATAATACTTAAATAAAAACAACAGTGCATTTATTTTAACATTGAAGTGCTATTATATTGGATGTTGATTCTTATGATCATAATAAATCAGATATCTCGCCTGCAGGAATGATGACAGACAGGGCCGTGGTCGAGGCCGACTTTATGACTTTGGTGCCGGAGCGAGTCGCGGTGCTTTTCCCACTGTCAGCGGTGGGAATCTGATGATGTCGTGCTCTTCGTAACACGAGGTCACTTCCGACTCGAGGCCCGAACGAGTCTGGGATGTGCAGAGGCACGGCGGCATCGGCAGGCCGCAGAAGTTTATCTGAGAAACAGGAAGATTAATATGAGTTTTAGTGTGACTGACGCCTAGGAACACAATGTATGAAATGACTCTTTATTTGAAAACCAAATCACCTCCTGGATGTCCCACTGACTCCAGCAGTCCGGAGCTGACGGGCACGCTGGCGCCCTCTAGTGACGTGCCCCTGACTTTGATCGCTGGCTGGCGCGTGTGCACCTCACCGTCTCCCTCCAGTGGAGAAGCGAAGCGGTGCGTGTCCATTAACGCTGAGAAGCGGCGGCGCGCTCCGGGAGGACTGGAGTCTGATTCTGTGAAGGACGACTCCGAACACGACAAACGCTTCCTATACATAGAAAGGAGGACCATCAGTGGTTTAGAACCACGGCCTAATAAACTCATACTATCGGGTTATTAGGTGATTCTGAGTGGTTTTAAACTTGCTAGGTGGTTGCTTGTCAGTTTCTAATTTGTTCAGAGTGGTTGCTAGGGCGTTGCTAGGTGGATAGCAGGTGGATAGTGCATACTATGGGGTTATTAGGGGATTCCGAGTGGTTTTGAACTTTTTATGTGGTTGCTAGGTGGTTTCTAAGGTGTTCTGAGTGATTGCTAAGGTGTTGCCAGGTGGTTACTAGGCTGTTTTAGTGCATGCTATGGGGTTTTTAGATTAGTTATTTTAAACTTGCTAGTATGTGGATGCAAGGTGGTTTCTAGGGTGTTCTGAGTGGTTGCTAAGGTGTTGCTAGGTGGTTACTAGGGTGTTTTAGTGCATACTATTTGGTTGTTAGATGAGTAATTATAAACTTGCTACTATGTGGATGCTAGGTGGTTTCTAGGGTGTTCTGAGTGGTTGCTAATGAGTTGCTAGGTGGTTACTAGGGTGTTTTTAGTGCATACTATGGGGTTATTAGATGATTTTGAGTGGTTTTAAACTTGCTAGGTGGTTTCCAGTGTTGGGGAAGCTACTCTGAAACTGTAGTTTGACAAGCTACAAGCTACTCGTAAGTTAAAGTAGTTTAACTACAGTCAAGCTACCCTTTTGGAAAAGTAGTTAGCTACACTACAAGTTACTATCAAAAAGTAGCTATCTACATTGAAACTACTTTTGCTTTTTGAACAACGTATAATATACATAATTGAATAAGTGTCTGAGGAAAGTTAAGTAAAATATTTAGTGTTTAAAGCAATGCAATACAATTATGATTTCAAAGAGTATTGTTTTATTACACACAACACTCAAATATCTCAGATTGTTTGTCAAAAGTGCAAAAATGCAACAAATAGCCTACAACATTGCAAGATCAAAATAAACGCAATGTAGCTTTTGCTCGCGCTACACCGCTACTTGCTGCAAAAAGTAGTTAGCTTCTGGAAAAGCTACACTGTTTAAAAAGCAACTGAGCTACTGCCAAGCTACTGAAAAATGTAGTTAAGTTAGTAGCGTCGCTACTTGTAGTTAACTACTCCCCAACACTCGTGGTTTCTAATTTTTTCTGAGTGGTTGCTAGGGCGTAGCTAGGTTGATAGTAGGGGTTTTAGTGCTTGCTATGGGGTTTTTAGATGAGTTATTTTAAACTTGCTACTATGTGGATGCAAGGTGGTTTCTAGGGTGTTCTGAGTGGTTGCTAATGTGTTGCTAAGTGGTTACTAGGGTGTTTTTAGCGTATACTATGGGGCTATTAGGTTATACTGAGAGGTTTTAAACTTGCTAGGTGGTTTTTAATTTGTTCAGAGTGGTTGCTAGGGTGTTGCTAGGTAGATACTACAGTGTTTTAGTGCATACTATTGGGTTTTTAGATTAGTTTTTTTTAAACTTGCAACAACGTGGATGCAAGGTTTTTAGTGCATGCTTGCAGTTGTTAGGTAGTGTTAAACTTGCTATGGGTTGTTAGGGGGTTTTAACCACCAATGTTCAATTAATAGTTAAAAGTGCATTATAAGGTTGATGGATAGTGCTATCAATGGCATTGCTAGTGTGTTTTTAGTGCATGCTAAGCTCTTAGGCAGCTCTGAGTGGTTTTAAATGTGCTACTATGTTGGTGTTCTGCTGGGATATTCTGGGAGGTGTTTCGCTCCTACATCTCAGGGGATCCGGTTCTCCAGGTCTTGAGGGTCAGGCTGCCCAGACTCTCTCTCTTCGTGCGATCTTCTCTGTGAGCTTTGGGCTCTCGGCGGGTCACCACAGGTTTGTGCTCCAGCTGGGACAGTTGCTCCATGCTGCTGTACACCTGTGATTCAGACAGATTACATGAGTCCTGGAACAGACTACATTACCCATAATCCTCAGTGTATGATGAGAGAGGTCAAACCTTGCTGAAGCGTGGAGAGCAGGAGGAGAAGTGGTGAATCTCCACGGGCTCGTCGTCATTGGTGTCGTCCTCATCGTACGAGTGAACGTGATGATATCGCTCGGATCGCGCTGAAACGGACAGATGAGTTACTCGCGAATGCACACTAACTAAATATGTGCTGAGAGCAATGGGAGTTTTGGGCGCGTTTACTAGCTAGAGTTAAATTTTCTGGAAATTTCACATTGACAAGCCGTTTCAAACTCCCGAAATTCACTCCAAATGAACTTATTTTTGGCCTGATTGTGTTCGAATTGGCGCCTCATCACTTCGCCTGACATAAAACAGACACCAGCATAAACACACACAATCCACCCGTCCGTCACTCACTGTCGAAGTAGCTGGTGTCCTCCTCCGACTCCAGATGCGGGATGAACTCGGCTTTCTGTCGGAGCAGGCCGCTCCAGTCCAGATCACAGAAGAACGAATGCTGCTTCACCTCGAACGCTCCACCTGCGCACAAACACACCCCTCCATTCAGCGTGAGCAGAACATCTGACTCGACCAAAGCCATGCACCAGCACAGGTGGACACAGTAGCATGATAGAAGACAATTAATGCTCCAAAAATGATCAAATCAACCATCGAAAAGAGATTTTAAATATTTTCTTTAGACATTGGGTTGGTCTGAGTGCTTGTGCCGTTGTTAGGTGGTTACTATGGTGTTTTTAGTGCATACCATTGGGTTATTAGGGGATTCTGAGTGGTTCCTAGGGCATTGCTAGGTGGTTACTAGGGTGTTTTAGTGCATACTATGGTGTTATTAGATGAGATACTTTAAACTTGCTACTATGTGGATTCAAGGGGGTTTCTAAGGTGTACTGAATGGTTGCTTGGGTGTTGCTAGGTGGATACCAGAGTGTTTTAGTGAATATTACGAGGTTATAAGGTGATGCTGAGTGGTTTTAAACTTGCTGCTATGTGTTTGCTAGGCAGCTCTGATTAGTTTTAAACTGATAATGTGTGGGTAGGTGGTTGCTAAGGTGTTGCTAGGTGGAGGTTTAAGTGATTTTATGTGGTTGTTAGGTGGTTCTGAGTGGTTTTAAACTTGCTACTATGTTTTTGCTAGGTGGTTTCTAAGGTATTCTGCTGGGGTGTTTTTTAGTACATGCTATGTGTAGGAAGTTCTGATTTGTTTTATCTGTGCTACTACGTGGTAGCTGGGTTGTTTCTAAGGAGTTCTGAGTGGTTCCTGGGCATTGCTAGGTGGATACTAGGGTGTTTTAGTTTTGGTTATTAGATGAGATACTTTAAACTTGCTACTATGTGGATGCAAGGGGGTTTCTAAGGTGTACTGAATGGTTGCTAGGGTGTTGCTAGGTGGATACCAGGGTGTTTTAGTGAATATTACGAGGTTATAAGGTGATGCTGAGTGGTTTTAAACTTGCTGCTATGTGTTTGCTAGGCAGCTCTGATTGGTTTTAAACAGATAATGAGTGGGTAGGTGGTTGCTAAGGTGTTGCTAGGTGGAGCTTTAAGTGATTTTATGGGGTTGTTAGGTGGTTCTGAGTGGTTTTAAACTTGCTACTATGTTTTTACTAGGTGGTTTCTAAGGTATTCTTCTGGGGTGTTTTTTAGTGCATGCTATGTATAGGCAGTTCTGATTTGTTTTAACTGCGCTACTACGTGGTAGCTGGGTTGTTTCTAAGGAGTTCTGAGTGGTTCCTGGGCATTGCTAGGTGGATACTAGGGTGTTTTTGTTTTGGTTATTAGATGAGATACTTTAAACCTGCTACTATGTGGATTCAAGGGGGTTTCTAAGGTGTACTGAATGGTTGCTAGGGTGTTGCTAGGTGGATACCAGGGTGTTTTAGTGAATATTACGAGGTTATAAGGTGATGCTGAGTGGTTTTAAACTTGCTGCTATGTGTTTGCTAGGCAGCTCTGATTGGTTTTAAACTGATAATGTGTGGGTAGGTGGTTGCTAAGGTGTTGCTAGGTGGAGCTTTAAGTGATTTTATGGGGTTGTTAGGTGGTTCTGAGTGGTTTTAAACGTGCTGCTATGTTTTTGCTAGGTGGTTTCTAAGGTATTCTGTGTGGTTGCTGGGGTGTGTTTTAGTGCATGCTATGTGATGATTTGTTTTAACTGTGCTACTGCATGGTAGCTGGGTTGTTTCTACGGAGTTCTGGGTGGTTGCTAGGGTGTTGCTGGGCTATTCTGGGCTATGGTATTCAGACCTTGAGTCCCTCCTTTAGTGTAAGTCTATTGGACCTTTTCATCCATTTTATTGTGCACAAATGGACTGGGGTTTGAATTTTAAACTATTCTTCCGGCATATAAATATTCTTATTTAATGGTCATTATATATGCAATGCTAAAAATGCTTCAAACTCGGTACATACAACCACATTTAGACACCAAATGAACAGTGTTAATGAATTTCAGTAGTTAGAGTGTATCAGCATGTGTTCGGTCACATGACTGCAGGTGTGTGAGGTCACCTGTGCCCAGTCTGAGCAGCGGGCTGGTCTGCAGTAGAGATGAGATCAGGTGCTGCGCGTCAGCGGGGAGAGCGTCATCCTCCTCGGGCCACGCGATATAATCTAGACACAGACACACACACTTGAAATGACACTATATTTTTTCTAATTAGTATTTTGTCTTATTTTCTAGTAAATAAAAAATAAAAATTTTAAATGTGACTATTTGTTTGCTTTTTGTGTTTTTGGAATTTCCTGTTAAATGTTAACTATTAAATGGGACTATTTCTATTGTTTGCTTCTATATCTATATTTTGTTTATAGCTATTTTACATTGTGTGCATTGTATACATCCTTTGCTTTTTTGTACTGTAAAATTTCACTGTGTAAAATATCTGATGTTGTGACGTCTTTACCTGAGATCACCTGACCAAACAGCTCCTCGGGTGTGTCCCCGAAGAACGGCACGCATCCCACCAGGAACTCGTAGAGGATGATGCCCATGGCCCACCAGTCCACTGGCTTCCCGTAGCCCTGCCGCAGGATCACCTCCGGGGCGATGTACTCCGGGGTGCCACAGACCTGGGGTCAAAGATCAAGCATCTGAGCATAACTTCAGCACTGACACTTCATGAACTTGAGTTCAAAATTGTGCTACATTAATTACATTTGTTATGTTTAAATAAATGTATTCATAATATAATTATTAATAATTATAATTAATTGAAGATATGTGCAAATGCTACTAAAGTAAAGCCAGGTCATATAGACAAGGAAAAATTTGTTAATCAACTACACTTGCATATATTTCCTGGAAAAAATTCAAGTAGTGTCAATTAATGCAAAACTCTAAACCATTGCTATATGCAGTTGCTAAGGTGTTTGGAATCATTTTTAGAATGTTGGAGTTAGAAATTATTTTTAGAATGTTGGTATTTCGAATAATGCTTTGCATGTTGGTCTTTGGATTTTTTTTTTTTGCATGTTGGTATTTGAAATTATTTTAGCATGTTGGTATTTGGAATAATTTTAGAATGTTAGTATTTGAAATTATTTTTAACATGTTGGTATTTGAAATTATTTTTAGAATGTTAGTATTTGGAATTTTTATTTAGCATGTTGGTGTTTGAAATTGTTTTTAAAATGTTGGTATTTGGAATTATTTTTAGAATGTTGGTATTTGAAGTAATTTTTAGCATGTTGGTGTTTGGAATTATTTTTAGAATGTTGGTATTTGGAATTATTTTTAGAATGTAGGTATTTGGAATTATATTTTTAACATGTTGGTGTTTGGAATTATTTTTTGAATGTCGTTTTTTGGAATTTTTTTTAGAATGTTGGTATTTGGAATTATTTTTTAGAATATTGGTTATTTGGAATTAATTTTTTAGAATTTTTGGTATTTGAATTTGTGTGTGTGTGTGTGTGTGTGTGTGTGTGTGTGAAAAGTTTCAGAAAGATTTCATGAATAATGAAAATTGCCATTTTGTGGCTTTTAGTCCCTGTCTGTGATCCATTTCTTCTAATACAATATCAAATTCTTTTAAAAGAGTATTTTCTCATACCTGTTTATCCAGGAACTCCCTGGTGTCCTTCTCGATGTGTCCCTCATACAGGTTTGTGGTGAGACTCATGAGACCCATTTTTGACAAACCGAAATCCGTGAGTTTAATGTGTCCCATGGAATTGATGAGCAGACTGACAGAGAGCGACACAAACACACACCGTCAAGCTGAGCGGCAGTCCTGACATGTGTTTAATTATATAACACACAATCTGTCCGAATGAAATGATTTTCATTAATCTCACACAGGAAGTGCCTGTCACCACCCAGCAGAAGGCAAATGAATCCCAGCAATCATTTAATTGAATGTGCAGGGTCATTTAGTAAATGAAACACTCTCTGCTGTCCTCATAAAATAGAATTCAGATATATTCTGATTCAATCTAGTCCACCAGGAGGCGTCTTACTTGTCAGGTTTGAGATCCCGGTGCACGATTCCATAGTTGTGAATGTATTCTAGCGCCAGCACGGTTTCAGCAAAGTACATGCGTGCCATTTCCACAGGCAGCGCTCCAATATTCTTCAGCAGCGTTGCACAGTCGCCTCCTGAAACACAAAACACACATGCAATCTTCAGTTGTGTCTAATTAAACAGAAGTCTCCTGCACCTCTTCTCTGATGATGTGGGCGGGGCAACCGGTCACTCACATGAGATCAGCCAATAGCAAACCACAAGCATCCAATCAATTCCACACGGTCAAAATCAAGCCCCGCCTACATTTGTTCTTGTTCCAGAAGCGATTCACTCAGATATACGTCACAATAAAGTCTGTAAAAGAGTGTGTGTGTCTCACCCTCCACGTACTCCATGACCATACACAGGTGTCGTCTGGTCTCGAAGGAGCAGAACATGCTGACCACGAACGGGTTCTCCGCGAAGGTCAGGATGTCTCGCTCCACAAACGCCTGCTGGATCTGGTTCCTCAGAATCAGGTTCTGTTTGTTGATCTTCTTCATAGCGAAGCGCTGTCGGGTCTCCAGGTGACGGACCAGATACACCGCGCTGGAAAACACACGGAAACCTCTGTCATGGCCTCAACTCCTCTATATGTGTGTGTGTGCTTGTATTTATGGTTTATGAGGACATATGTGTATAATCACATGGGTATTAGAACGTAAACATGGTTTATGAGGGCATCTCAAGTGTGTGTGTGTGTGTGCTGGTGTACCCATAGGCTCCATTGCTGATTAGTTTGATGGTCTGGAAATCAGCCTCTCCTGGAGGCTTCATGGGTTTCATTTTTCCCTGGAAAAGAGAAAAATCCTCTGAACACTTTATAATAATTTGCACAGGATGTCATTTTCCTCTCGTAACAGATGCTTTACTGAGAGTTTATTGGGGCTGTGTGTGTGTGTGTGTGTTCAAACCTCTGCGGAATCGTCCGTCTCCGGTGTGACGGGACCCTCGCTGTCATAGTGCTCTCGACTGACCATCTCTGAAACGCACACGTCACAGACGGTCAGTTCCTCTATAATAAAATCAGTGTGTGTGTGTGTGTGTGTGTGTGTGCGCCTCACCCTCCAGAGGGTCTCGTGTCAGGCCCAGCTGGCTGATGATGTAGCGCGGGATGTCGGTCTTCATCAGGTGTCCCTCTTTAGCGTGATCTTCAGCCGCTTCCAGCAGATGATAAAACTCCTCAGGGTTAAACTCCTGTGTCACACACACATCAATCACTGGTGCCGTCGGTTACTACGGCGATCTTAGAACGACGCGACGCGGTTTGGAATTACACGGTTCCGTTTATGCAGCGAATTAAACTGAACTTTTGTCATTTGCTGAAGTGCGTGGAGATATTCGCCCAAACTTTGCTGAAAGCTCATTTAGTGAACTTCTGGTGTAATGGGGTAATAATGCGTCTGTGTGGTTTAATCCTGGAGCAGCTCAGATTCGTTTCAAATGACTGTGTGAGATTTCGAGGCAGTGAATCACAAAAGGTCAATGATACAGTAAAACGCTGCTTCAATCTAAATGCTAATGCAACACGCTCTGGCTCACAACACTTTTGTGTAAGAATTGGAAACGGTCTGGCTTGTGTTTTGGGAGTCCAGAGGGGTTTGATATCACGTTATCTGATGATTATTTGAGACTTTGATGGATGGAAGAATAAGCTAGAAGAATTTTCCTCACCAAACACTCCAACAGTCGGGCAGGTCGAGCGATGATGAAGAGGAGTTTCTTCACCAACTCAGTGACGAAGGTCAACTCTGAACTCTCTGACCGTTTGTACGCCTGAGACACACACAGAGAGAGAGAGAGAGAGAGAGAGAGAGAGAGACGCATGAAGCTGATAACACTGACTTATTCAATTCAATATATTTATTCATATTATTATGCATGTAATAAAGATTTATTTCTAGATTCTATTTTAGAAATATAATGTTATATTATATTTTACAATTATTTCTAGACTATTTATTTATTACAAAATACTAGTAATATAATATAATATAATACAATATAATATAATATAATATAATATATTATAATATAATATAATATAATATAATATAATATAATATAATATAATATAATATAATATAATATAATATAATATAATATATACAGAAATTTTATTGGCCCTGGTTGCAGTATGTGACAATAAATACATTATACGGTAAATGCATTATACATACTTTTAATATTATTAAGAATCCAGAAATAAATATATATACATAATGCATATAATATTAATAAATATATGTATTTTTTATAAATTATATTATAATAAATTATGTAATTATTTCTAGACTATTTATTTATTACAAAATACTAGTAATATAATATAATATAATATAATATAATATATACAGAAATGTCATTGGCCATGTGGCAATAAATTTATTATAAATACCTTAAACATAATATTTTATAAGTACCCAAAAAATATTAATAATAATGGTAATTATTATTATATAATATTTGTATTATATTACTAAAATTATCATTATTATAATTATTATTAAAGTATGTAGTAATACATACATATTCCAGAAATTATATATATATATATATATATATAATAAAACATTATTTAATAATTATAATATTATTATTTTTTCTATAATATTTATAAAATACTTTTTTTATCCACCACATGGCCTGGGCCAATGGAGAATCAGTATTAATTAAAAGCAAAAATCCAAATGCTACTATGATGCATTAAAATGTCACGTGTAAATAATAAATCATAATCCCGTATTTCCGTAAAGAGCCGGTTGTGTTATGATGGACTCACGTCGTCCAGGAGCTTCTCCAGGTTCTCCTGCAACTCGAAGAAGTAGACGGACGTGATGAGGCCTTCTCCAGATTTGGTCAGGCAGTCTCTGGACAGCTCGATGATCTGGTGGTGGATGAAGCTCAGGACCCCGTCGGCCAGCGGGAGGACGCTCTCGGGACAGTACGTGTGGATGAAGTCACACAGGCGGCCCTCCATCTGCGCCGTGGCCTGGCGGGAACACACACACACTCATCAAGATGGAGATAAAGAATGACAGATAGATTCTGGAAATAACAATAATTGTAATTAGTGTTATATAATAATAATAATATATTAATATATTAAAGAATAATAAATAAATGACCTTGTAATATTATTATCATCATCATTGATGATTAACATCATCAATATTAATATTATCTCATAATATTAATTATGAGATAACTGTTATTAATATTATGATTATGAAATACTAAATATGTATCAATTATTATTAATACGAACAGATTATTTATTTATTACCAGATTACTAAATAAATATTCTAAAAATATTATTACAATAATATTATCAAATATAACAC